CTCACCCCTTTCAAGGCTGGTGATCATTTTTCACTGTCCCTGGCAAGTGGCCCTCAGCACAGGGTATTCCTGCTTCTTCTGAGTTTATAAAACAGAACAATAATTTGTCTTCATGTATTGCAAAAATCGAGGCCCCAAGAGGTTAAAGCATTTGACCACATTCACAAAGCTAGTTTGCTAGAACTGGAAATGAGGCTGATGGTACCTGGGGCCCCTCTGACCAGGAAGAGAGTGCCAGAGAGAGGGCCTGACAGGTCTGCCTCCGCCCCTCTTATCCCCAGGAGCCCGTAGCATCCAGGCAGCCCAAGCTGGGAGAGCTGGCGGCATTCCTGGGCCGCATGGACCCCTGGTATGAGAGCACCGTCAACACCCTGTGCCCCGCCATCCACAAGCTGGCTGAGATGGTAGGGACAGCGAGGGCCCAAGAGTGGGAGGGGAGGCAGGGCGCAGGGTCTGGGCAGAGGGGGCGATGGAAGAGCCCGAACGGGCAGAGAGGGTGGGATGGGGTTGGGAGGGGGCCATTTTCAGATATTGTACTTGGCCCTTGACCTCAAGAGTCAGCCCCAGGGGGCCCAGGGTTGGGATGAGGCAGGAAAGGAATGCGAGAGAGAACCCCCCACCGGCTAGACATTTTCCATTCCCTCAGAGCACTTACCAGACACCTACTTTGGATGAGAGCACTGTGGAAAAGACAAAGTCCAATATTCTTTCATAAACGTGTAGGCCAGTTATAGCCCTTCTTCTGTGAGCTTCCTGTGACCATTTTTCTGTGATCGTAACAGCCGATGTTTCCTGAGCACTTACCCAGTGCCAGGCACTGTTCTAAGCACTTAAGGGAGGACTGGCTCATTTAATTCTCACAGCAGCCCTGCGAGGCAGGTGCTTTGGTTGGCAGGTGCTGCTGTCGTCATCTCCCCATGTTACAGATCAAGCAGCTGAGGCACAAAGAGATTAGGTCACTTGCCCAAAGTAACAAAATGAGTGGTTGAGTCTCACTTGGAACCAGGCAGCTCGACTCCAGGGCACATGCTCTTAACCACAGACCAGACTGCCACACCCCAACCCTGGCAGGCGGTGGGGAGGGAATTTGTACTTTTACTGATTTGAAAAGCTTTTATATATTAAGAGAATCTTCCCCTTTTTGCTGTCATATGTTGCAGGCATTTTTTTTTTCCACTTTGTAATTTGCCTATCAGTTTTTTGACTTGCAGAAGTTGAACATTTCACTGTAGTAAGGCATAGCATTTTTATTCTGTATGGCTTCTGCCTTAGGAGTCATGCTTTCAAAGACCTCTTTCACTCCAAGATTAAACAAATATTTGTTTATAATTTATTTTAAACTTTCAGTGTCTCAATTTTTACATTTAAATAATTAGCCCATCTGGAATTAATTCTAGTATTTAGTGTGAGGTATGTAATTTTACTTTTTCCAGATGTTTAGCTAGTTGTCCTAAAGCTATTTATTGCATAAAACATCTTGCTTCCTGTCTCAGTCCATTTTCTGTACCTATAACTAAATACCTGAGACTGGGTAATTTATAAAACAAATAAATTTATTTCTTACAGTTCTGGAGGCCAGGAAGTCTTCTTGCTGGTCGGGACTCTCTGCAGAGTCCCAAGGTGGTGCAGGGCATCACATGGAAAGGGGCCAGGGCAAGAGCCAAATTGGCTTTTTAAAAACTTATTTGTTATTTATTTATTTATTTAGTTATTTTATTTATTTATTATTTTGTGTGTGTGGGGGGGGGCAGCTGGCCAGCACAGGGATTAAACCCTGGACCTTGGTGTTATCAACACCACACTCTAACCGACTGAGCTAACCAGCCAGCCCAAACTGGCTTTTGTACCAGTCCCACTCTCATGATAACTAACCCACTCTCATGATAACCGATTAACCCATTACTTCATTAATGGATTGATCCAATTACCTCTTAAAGGTCCCATCTCTTAATACTGTTATATTGCAGGTTAAGTTTCAACATGAGTTTCGGAGGGAACAAACATTTAAATATTGCCCCTCACCAATTCTAAATTCCACTTTTATCGTTTACTAATGTCTTACCTATGCTTGAGTTTATTTATGGATATCTGTC